TCAGGCGGGATCTATGGGAGATAGGAGTTGAAGGAGATTGGATTTTGTTGGCCAAGGACAGGGTCCGGTGGAGGGCTTTGGTTAATTCGGTGATGAACCTTCGGGTTCCCTAAGCCATCTAGTTAGTTATGAATTCCAAATTTGACTACAGTTTTCCTTTCCTGTTAAATCCACATTCTGATAAAGCAGCGCTCACGAGGTGCTAATGTTACGTAATGAGAGTGGGTAAATGATCCTATTTGTACATAATAACATAAAAACGAAAATAGGACTTGACTTTGTAGGCAGTACAAGTACCTGTTTTATTAAACACTCTTGGTAGTAGCACCCTGTCTGAGTATCAGTTACACTGTACTGCTGGTAATATCATGTGAGTCAAAATTTACTTACCTATTATCACTACGAAGAGGAAGATAAAGTACATTTTGCATTCTGTGCGATTGGATATGAGCCCCTTGTTAGTTTTTATATATGGAATTAACTCCTGCTTCATTCCTTAAACACAAAGAACTTCGTATCAGTACTGAAAATTATTATAGGCATATTTATTGGGCTTTGTGCACTGTATCGGATAAAAAATCTATAAGACATGCCTTGATTTCATGTGTCTTTGGAATTTGGTATTAGCAAAACGTATGTTCTTGAGGTACCATATTAATCAGGGCTGTGGAGTCGGAACTAAAACCTCCGATTCCTTCATAAAACCTCAGTATGTATTAATAATGGTAAACCTACTAAAATGGTAAATGGTACCTTAAGAGATTTCATCACCACCACGTGAATCATCAGGCTACTTTTTAGACTTATAACCTATATTTAAATATACGTCTAATTGCTATCGCAGAAATCGGTTGATCTGTAGACAGTTTGTATTCTTAAGGTATCGGAGCCAAAGTTACAAAGGATTATTCCCACACCACGTGGCTCAATGCGTCGTTGAATCTCCCTAAGCGTGAGGTGTTATTAAGATTTATATCGAGGTCGGAGTCGGTACATTTTTACCAACTCCGACTCCATAGCCCTGATGTTAGTTACAATAATACATCATGACCAAATTCTGTTATAAATTTAATGCATCTTTATTTTAAGAATGGGTAAGTGGACTGAACTTACCAGTTTTATAGAATGTTGTTATATTCGGTTGATAGTATGAACATTAAATTGAGTTTAAGTAATTGATCTAATTCTGACTGAATACAAAGAATTTTCAACAATAAGCAATTGGAAATTAACTTTACCTTGCAAAGAACCCTTTTGTCTGTTTCCAGAAGATTCTGACGTGTGGCCTTCTGTACCGACAGAGTCTGGCGGGCTGCTCCCTTGGTCAACTGGAGATTTAATTTCACACATAACCATTGCAGAAAAACGCTCCATATCGTGCAATTGAATTCCATCAGCTGCAGGTTCTTGTTCTTTCACATTATAATTCGTTGTACTCGCAATCATTTTTCTATTAATCTAGACTTTGCACGTCTATGCTTCTTCTGACTGCAACAAAACAAATATTTGTCGTTTATTTATTATGCCTAGCAACGGGTCGCATTATCAACAATGGGCAAGACCAACAATACGAGTTGCAGGCGATTGAGGTGCTGTCATCTGGTGGCTGTGACTGTATCTTTTTTTACAATGTATCCACAGATTATATTTCAAGAACAACCGATGATAACTAAACATCTTAACAATTCGTATGAAACGTGTATATTGGATTATTGTTTTTTGGAAAGATTTTCAATTGCACAAAAGTATCTTTTGTACGACGCACTTTTTCTACAAGCGATTCACAGCCCATTTGTTTCCACAGCAACGAAAGGTGATTGTTGACGTCAATAAATATCAGTAAAATATAAAATATTGGCCAAAACAATGTTTTTTTATTTTTAGTGTTCTGTCTGACGACAGGTCCATATGAACAGGATCCTTCCATCCTTTTCTCGGACTGGGACCTGTTCATATACGTTCTTGGCAGATGATCCAGAAGGGGTTTGCCATTGCCTTCTTCTGTGTGAGTGTGAATGGAGTAATTGTTGGGATGCCACGGAAGAAAACTCCGTGTTTATAAAATGTGTGTATTGGATTATTTTCAAAGGTTTTAAACTGCACAAAAGTATCTTGTGTACGACGCACTTTTTCCAAAAGCGATTCCAAACCCATTTGTTTCCACAGTAACGAAAAGCGATTGTTGACGTCAATAAATATCAATAAAATATGACAATGTTGGCCAAAACTATGACGTAACAATTATTGTTTCTTCAGTAAAAAAATTGACAGTGAATCCACAGTTCCGGAGAATCTGACGCAAATACGTCTTTGTGTTTAAATTATATTTAGGCAATAAATATATTCCCTCAACATTTAAAGGTGACTCGGCGCTGGATCTTACACGTCTTCGTAACTAACGCTGTTTTTGCCGAATGACCCTTCCGTATAGACGTATTTACGTCAAAAGAAGACGAGCCTAATTCTCTTATACGAGTTCACAAATGCAGACGAAAACATTAAATGTAATTAACATTAATAATAAATAGGAATCCCTTACCTCAGACTTTGTTCACTTGTAAGAGACCACGATGTCCACCGCAATGACCAATTTAATCAAAACTAAAATGGAGAGAGTGGAAGGCAGTTTCACAGATTTCTTAATAATTCTTATATAAGATAAGTAATTGTGATATTCTAAAACGTTTTTACCAGCACAAAATTATCTTCTCTACGACGCACTTTTTCTACAAGCGATTGGCAGCTCAGCTCTTTCCGCAATAACGAAAGCGGATTCTTGACAGCAGTAATGAAAAATAACAATGCCGAATAAACAGATGACGCAACAATTAGTTTCTTATGTAAAGGAGTAAAGCATTGTTATGCACGCAGTTCTTATAAAAGCTGACCATTGATGGTCCATATTTACACATTTTTGGTATGGATCTTACACATTTTCCTAACGCTGTTTTGCCGAATGACCCTTCCGTATAGACGTATTTACGTCAAAATAAAATGTTAGAGAGTAAATTTAATTAATCTAACTCAAAATAGGATTTAATGGGTTTGGAAAACTCTTATCAACAAAGTAATGGATATCTGGGTTTTATACAGTACGAGGAATTTCTTTACCATGTAAGCAACTATCATCTACTCAATAAACACTACGAACTGTAAAGTGACTTAATTGAAGGCAAGAGAAATAAATTACATCATAATTTTTGTACACGTTGTTTATTGGTGTATGAACATTGCCTCATATTGATAGTTTAATTCAGGCGCCAAGGCGGAACGAACACATCTTTGATGAATGACGCGTACTTTTGCTACGAATATTACGTAGTTGCATTTGGATTCAGAAGATGGCTCTCTTCTGCGGTGTCGTGTCGTACAGTTGGTACATACCGACCGACAAACCACAGGTTCGTACTATCTCCACCTTTCAAATCGTGCTTCAAAACGATAATATGATACAAACGGAGAAATAACTAACAGAAATATACAATCCACATCTTGCACTAGGAAACAGGCGATATAATTAATACGTGTCACATAGCAAAATAACTTAGATATTTTGGATAGGAATATTTTCACGTCGAATTTTACAAAGATTTAATAATAATAATCCGTGGCGTAACAGCCCTCTGAGAGCCAAGCCGACTAGCTGGCTGCTGGCCTCACGTTCACATGCCTAAGCAGAGGTGAACGATCATCCAACCAGATACAGAGTGACGTGTGGTCAGCACGACGAACCCCCAGCCATTGCTAGTTTTCCTGACCGGATTACGCTACTCATTGTAGCTCCCCAATTTCCTCACGATGCTGGATTGGCACCGGTCGAAAATCTCATGAGATTTTACAAAGATTTAATAGGCGTATGTAGATTCTGATATTATTCTGCAGTCTGGCGACATAATACAAATATATTCTTAGTTTTGTCTTCATCCAATTCTAAACAAATCTCTTTACTATCGTATAATAACTATAAAACTTCCCTCATCGAAACAATTCTCCCATCTGAACAGAGCAATTTATATAAAAAAAAGTAAAGAGCTATGAGGAGACGGGATAGCTCAGTCAGTATAGTGACTAGCTACGGGCTAGACGACTGGGGTTCGATCCCCGACAGCGGCAGAGGATCTTTCCTCTAGCCTCTGCGTCCAGACCGGTTCTGGGGCCCACCCAGCCTCCTATCCATTGGGTACCGGGGTTCCTTCCCGGGGGTAAAGCCGGCCGGGACGTGATGATGACAACTCTACCCCATCTAGTGGAGAGGTCAAGAATGAGTAGGAGCTATGCCACCTCTCCCCACAAGCGCCTACATGGTGTATAGCGGGGCAGTTTTACTATTTATAAAGAGCTGTGATCGACATCACCAAATTGAAAGCTTCAAGGTCACAGCAAAATCATGAAACTTCTCAAAACGAACCTGCTGAAACATTTTCATTGTAACAAGATCAGTGAAACATAAATTATACTTCATTTCATTTTTAAAATCGCGATATCTTTATAATTAAATTGCTTTGGTATTTTACTACTTTAGGAAATGAAACATCTTTCCGTGTATTTGGAATTACTTTTCACAGCGAACGTAAAGATATATCTTGTCATAAATTTACGTTTTATGCATTCTGCTTCTGAAATGTAGCTAAAGATTAAAAACCACATCTTAGTCTATCTTGAACTTTACGTAAGTCCTTCAGTGACTTAGAGGCCTACATTTCCTTGTGTAGAAATCAATAATCACATATAAATAATTCACAAAACTTTATGACGTTATTATTTCATGGATACCTGACGACTGAATATTCGGATGATCAGTGTAATGCAGCTTCTGTCTGAAAATTTCAGCGTGTATCAATGTTTGTGCTTTAAAAAGCATGAATTAAACTAAACGACCAGTCCCACGGTAGAGTCCAGGAACGTGAAAAGCCAACTTTGTTTTTAATTAACCCTTTATTTCCATAAGAGACAAGGAGCGACTTTTAGCTTCTCAGTAAGGAATCTGCTCCGTGAAGTTAGAAAAGGATTTGCTGTTTACGATAAAAGCAAGAATCGTTCAGTGCCAAGCAGTTTGAAATATTTTCACACATTAAATTGCATTGCAAATGTGGATAGAACAGGGTGAGGGCAAAGGATGAGGAAAGCAGCTCAGGTTTGTACAGATCTCATTAGTCTGATTTAGCATAACTCATTGTTATTACAAATAACAGTCATTGATGTGTAACATTCGTTTCTTTCTCGCTTAGAAAGGCAGAAGGAAAGCAAGAAAGGATCAAATACTGTGACGTAGGCTGGTTCTTACGCCCTTTATTGTCAACCCTTGCTGTTTGGAGTCTGCTAACTTGGATACGATCCGACACTTTTACATGGGGATCCACACACTAATCACACGCTCAACGCTTCGCGGTCTTGCGGCCGCGGTGACCTCCAACTTACTACCTGCATGATACTTCACCGATCGGCCGCACCCAGGAATGCGACTTTATTTATACCCCCTCACAAGATGTTGAAAGATCCAGACCAGGCAGCCTGGAAGTCAGGCAACCCTTCCCCTCCAGCGCGCGGTCCCGGCACACACGGCGACTTAACCCAATCGACTCCAGCCGGCCGATCCGTCGTCCCTGGCTAAATCTGATGTTTTAATTACGAACAAGGCTCCCAGATGGCAGCACAAGATATCATAAACTTTAGTTCATATTATCTTCGACAGATACCTCCTATTGGCCATCAAAAAATGTTTTCTGAACAAATTAAATTCGTTGAGCTCACATGTTTACCTAGTGGTGTGTTAATGTGTTTTTTGATGTATTTTTTGCTAAGATAAGTTTATCTCCTTAATGTTTTTGTTATTAAGTTCTATAGTGCTTATTATACAGGGTGATTCAAAAGGTTAGGGCTAAACTGAAGGAGCGTATAGAGGGACTCTGAGAGAACTTTCAAATAGGAATCCATGTCCTCCGAAGTTATCCTGAGTCAGTCGAGACCATTGAAGGCAGGGAAGTCTGATAACTTATCGCTGAAATAATCGTTCTTTGCTATTCTCCTACTAGCTTAATTTTGAATCACACTATCCCAGGCGTTGGATAGGGATCGGAGGGCCGGTTGAATGGCCAGCCCGCTCCCCAAATTTGACACCTCTCGATTACTACTTTTGGGGGCATGTCAAGAGCATCGTTTACGAGACACCGGTGGACGACCCAGAACAACTTTTGGCCAGAATACTTGCTGTATCTGACGTGATCCGTGAGGCTCCTGGGGTATTTGTAGGGTGCGCCAGAGTTTCGTTCGCCGATGCAATGCCTGCATTGAATGTGGAGGACGCCACTTTGAACACGTGTTGTAAATTTAGTTTGTAAAATTGTTAATAATTAATAAAAAACAAAATTAGCAAGCATTTTCAGAATTTATTCTCATTTCCTTGGAAATATCATTTTGATCTGTTCCCAAATATTTGAACTTTGTCACACTTTCAAAGCATTTATTAGCCACCCTAATATGATTTTGAGACCTATCTGCTGATGAGGTACTAACATGAACTCAGTTTTTTTCAGGACTTAGCATCTAGTAAAACTATTTTGTTTCTCTTGAATTTAAATACAATATTGACTATATCTTAGACTGCTAGTTACGTAACACACAACAAAGCTACATGAAAATAAAGAGTACCGGGACAGCGCGAACGCAGTCCCGACTACCAAAAATTACGCGCCCGAGTTACCCACATTAGGGGCAATCGCAGGGGTCAACCCAACCGAAGTGCAATGGAAGGATCTCACCCTGGGGGAACCGCCTTCTGGATCACGGTAACCCCTACGCCAGGTAAGTATGCATTTATCGTGTTTTAGACGCCATTTGAAATATCGCTACTACATTTCAGTCGCAGGACATATTCTGAAATATCGTTCTAAAGATTTAATGTAACCGATAATGAACCATATTTTGTAAATTTCTAGTTGATATTATTTTTCTCCACCGAAATAAAGCATACTTTCTGTTGAAAGTGCATAATACGATGATGTAATCGTTAAATAAACGACTTGAAGCATATTACATATTCATAGAACTTACAAGAGAGAGAGAGGCAGAATTCCTGAGAAGCACGAATTACAGATGACACCAACATCGTATACGGATGGTTAGGCGAAATATTTTTGAGAAAGGAGAAGAGTAGAGAAGGATATAAGCAACAAGCAGCTGGGCAGAAGGAAACAAAGTGAAAAATGACGGGCAGTGGAAGAAGCCATCATTTTACAGGTACGTGCATATGTCTCGAAAGCTCTGCATATAACATGTCAATAGGTAAGATTTTCCTATTAGTTTACAATGTACAATGTAGAATTCTTTTATCATTGGATTACTGTTCCTGGTCCCTGCCTCTGTGCGTGTGTGCGCGTGCAGGATATTATTCCTTGTGCAATTTAGTTATCCTTTGCTGAAAGACTCTCGGGTTACAAGCCGTGTCAGGTTGATGAATGGCTAATAAACCACATCTTCTGCCAACGTTTCGAGATAAATCTCTGCTGTCGTCCTCAGGGCTGCTGTGTAACAAACCTGGTTCTTTGTAGCATGCTACAAATAAAATGTTGTATTAGGTGGTGTATGAAGTTTAATTGTGAATTTTGTCACTGTTTTTCTCTTTGTAACTAGATTTTGTACAATGTGGCATTGCTGAACTACAAATTCCTGTCTTACACAAGGAGCAGCAGTATCTCGTATAGCGTAGCTGCATCCTAAGATGAGGTTCTGTAACTGTAACGGCGCTACAGATATTCAGTGAGTGTTATCGTAGTGAATAAATAAGCACTGCTTTGTTGTATGCAATTGCAGTATTTTACAGGAATAGCAGATGTGAATGGGATAGACAGAAAAGTGCTTCCACTATGCAGAAGCACTAAACTTAGGCCTGGGGAAAGTATGAATAGACGTCATTTGTCCAGTTTGTGTTCTAGACCCAACCTTGTCATAAATTCACTGAAAAATATTGAATCATGACACATAAAGGAAAATTTTTCCAGGTGTGTGTGATGCCTAGAAGCATAAGCTACTTAGGTAATTTTTTGTAAAATATTCCATTCTTGCAGTCTAACCTGGAACCTCAAAGCTTTTTTAAATAAATCTCAGCTTTCTAAGGATATAATTTTTTTATGACTGTGAAATTAAGCAAGACATCATTGATGGCAAAGACTGAAAACCTGGATCCATAAACTTTAATTCTGCAGTTGGTTTGTTGTCAAAATCATAACTTGATACATGTACATATATTTTTCGTGTTTTCTCTCCTTTCTAAATGTATCCTTTAGGGAGCTGAGGTATAGGTTAAATGGTAGGTAGCAGTTTTGAGTGTTGTGTAGAATGTTTGTGCTCTGAAGAAGAACGCACATAGCAACAATAAAAATTGGCCTGCTCTCTCCAAACCACCACAACAGCAACTGGCACTCATGAATATAATCCCTTTAGCCATCCTGTCAGTCGCTAATCAAATGAACTACAGTGTAGGTGTTCTGAATTTCTGTGTTTGTATGTAAATAAAAATGGTTTTCCTGTGGGTGAACGATAATATTAGGAGTAATTTGTGTTGTCAGTGTATAGAAATTATTTGCATATTAATAATGATTTAATATTTAATACAAGTTTTGCAGCATAGTGGAGAACTGTTCTCTGAAAGTGGGATAGGAGTCAATTGTCGTGAGACACTTAAAGAAGAGTGTGCAGCGAGTCAATTGTCGTGACACACTCAAAGGAGAATGTGCAGGTGATTTACAGATACGCTGTATATTGTTCTTGTGTGTAGAACATTTTGTGAGGAGACATTCAAAAATAGCTTTTACACAGTTTCAGTGACAAATATTGCATGTTACATGTTTGAGATGAAGTACACATATTTTGTCGTCTATTCACTTTGATTCCAGAAGTCTCCTACTGTAGAAACCTATAGTGAGAACTGGAAAGAAAGTGCTGATGTTAGTTAAGAAATAAGGAATTCCAGTTTGAAAGTGTACATTTTCACTTGTAAAAATTAACTTCTGTAAGGAATGGAATTCCAGTTTAAAAGTGTACATTTTCACTTATAAAAATTAACTTCTCTAAGGAATAATACCATAACGAAGCTTGTCCCAGATTCAGAATTCAACAGTGTGTTTGAACACTTGAGCAGTCTCTACTGGTAACTTAATACGATGTGAATGTAGAGGTAATTTTTCTTTAATTAAGTAAGTAAAAATAAATTCTGCAGAAATTGACTGCATCTAATTTGTTGCACTGAAAAGTTTGTATAATTTTTGTAACTACACAGTGTCTCATCAACCACAGCGAAGGGCCTGTCAGTAGATGGGAAAACATACTGTCTCCATCTTCAGGGCTGAAGGTGGAGATCATGATTCTGGACCATGTGATGTGCCATTACGAACCAGAAGACCAGCCTGCCGTGGGAATCTCAGAGATTCTTTTTCCTCCTTACCTGCACAAATTATATTTGTGAGAGTTATAGGAAACCTAGGAGACTTTATCAAGGAGCACAAGATCTCATCAAACCAAATTAAACTACAGGTCAGATATTTTGCTTCTGTGTAAAACAATGTGAACATGCAGGTGTAGATGAAAAGAATGTATATGAAGTATGGTGCTGTAGATTACTTGATGTAGGGGTGGAAACATGAGCCTGATGAGGGGCCAAGCAATATAAACTTTTTAGGTTATGTTCATGTGATCTTGTGTGTTTCAATTGTTGCCTTCAGTAGAAGACAGCATGGAACTTATTTACGCCCACGAGACTTGAATAAATTTTACAGAAGCTCTGTATTCTGATGCTTAACATCTATATAATTGATGTATGTGTGTGTTGGGTGCTACTTGGTTACGTGGAATTATTTAACACTGGCCACATCAGTGTGTGTCACCAATATATATGAGATTGCTCATACAGTAAGTCTTCATTTTAAGTGTGTGTTACTGTTTTCCTATTGCACCTGTAATTGCAAATTGTAGGTAACTTTTGTTGACTCTTTCTATGCCATATTCCATCAAACTCCACATAACAGTTATGGTGCAGTGTATGAGGAGACACGGGGAAGCTATTAGGCATATTGCTTTAACTGCGTTGGGATTGCGGGTAACAATTGATTCTGTAAATGTGGTCCAACAGCATGCATGCATGTATGTAAATAAGACATGTTTCTTTCTATGCCATACTCCATCAAACTCCACATAACAGTTATGGTGCAGTGTATGAGGAGACACAGGCAAGCTGTTAGGCATATTGCTTTAACTGCGGGTAACAATTGATTCTGTAAATGTGGTCCAACAGCATGCATGCATGTATGTAAATAAGACATGTTGGAGCAGTAATTTAACAAACAGCAGATGGTGAACGTACTACTGTTCTGTAAGATTTGAGGTTTTCACAGCAGTGCGTATGAAGATTTCTGTCTTCTGGGTTGTTGCGCTGTGTAGTCTGGTCGATGTTTACCAACGTTTCAGAGGTCATACTGCCTCCATCATCAGGGCGATGAATGTGCCACTTGGGTGGTTGGGGCTAGGTTTATAGGAGCTGGACCATGACTGGAGTAGCCTGCTCCCAGCAAATGATTGCCCTGATGACGGAGGCAGTATGACCTCTGAAACGTTGGTAAACATCGATCAGACTACACAGCGCAACAACCCAGAAGACAGAAATCTTCATACTACTGTTCTATATATATTCTGCCTGCAAAAGCCATGGAATTATTTAACACTAGCCACATCACTCACTTTTTATCACCAATATATCAGATTGTTCATTAATTGACTTGAGTAGCACCCCAAATTCCCAAGATATCTTATTTTGGCAATAAAGTGCATTTCTTATGCAAATAGAGTATCCAGACTGTAATTGAAACAATACACTTTATATGTGTGACTTGTGATTGTAAGTTCTGAGTGCCAAAACATGGACAGAGGCAGATTGTAAATTGTTTGAGTAATAATGTGCTAGGTACTAGGTTGGAGCCTGATTACTCTAGCCAAGGCATGTAAACTACCTTCTTACAGTTGCAGGAATTGTTCAGTTAGGCCCCACAGATTAGAACTGGAATAACAGAAAATGGTCCCTTGTGCTGATAACACAGGTGATGGAAATGCTGTGTTGTGCATGGTGAATGGATATGTTCAAATACAAACTGCTTAATTGACATCACAGGCTCAGGGATGGTCATGAAATGGAAGATGACCTGCACAATGAACTGGCTGGAACAGCTTCGGATGGAGGTAGAGGGAGGATTCATGTTGTGATCATCTGCAGCTGACTTCAGAGAACTTTATTTGGGCAGGTAAATGTACATAATACTCGCTCAGAAAGTATGTAATGACTTCATGAAAATGTACTGTACCAGACTTGCAAGAACATGGCATTGACCACATTAGTGGTGACCTTGTCAGCACAGCAGATAATGATTTGGGCTTTCTTTAAAAGATCTTTTTGTAGCCACCATATAATATAAGAATACTGTACTTGTATACCCTAGAAGCCTGTTCAAATCTCAAATCAGATTCTTACAAATGCACCTTTATTCACAGTACTTCTTAAGGTGGCATACAAGTGGTCTGTAAAGGTCTTCAAGTGTGATTAGTTGCTCCATCATTATAAGTACTTTATTCATATTTTAAAACACTCTATTTAGATTATTTTGGTACTTTCATAACTAGAAAAAAAGAATTTTCGTTGCAACTCGGGGAAGTAGGTATCCACCATATTGTCTCACAAACAGTTTTACACTTACAGACCTGTGATTTGCAATTTACTTGTAACATATTTATATAATAACTGTGTTATAAATTCTCTTTGGTTATTTCGCTTTATTTACTGTATTTATTGTATTATATATCTTAAACTACAGATATATCAAACTAAATTAACCCTAACCTAAAAATTAAACAAATAATTACAAGTGAAGTGAAGGAGGAGTGAGTATTTTTGCCAAAAAGAATCTAAAATTCAGTCAGTTAGATTTAATTCATCACTGCAAGGAACAAGACATAGAAATCTGTGTTGTGCAATTGGAAACTAAATTCTCCAACATACATGTCCTAGCTTTATACGGATCTCTCACAGGTGATTTTGAAATATTCTTAAACAAGTTAGAAAGCATTATAAATTACCTTTGTAAACCTGAGGCAGAATTTGCCATTTGTGGTTATATCAATGTTGATTATCTTACTGAAAGCTACCACAAACAATGTCTGAACCCCCCTTAATCTCATGTCAATAGTTAAGTTCCCCACAAGAACTCAAAATTACTCCAGGACTGCCATTGATAAAGTTCCAAGAAAGATCATATTGGTGGCAAATGGGCTCTCTGATGATGATGCTTAAGTTCTAGTTATAAAGAAATATAGAATCGATCTCTAATTATCATAATTACAGGAAATGATTCAGACTTATAAATAATGACGCTATTAAAGAATTTATAACACTCCCACATAATGAAAACTGGGAGTCAGTATTAAACAGACATGATGTAGATTCAAAATTTAACACATTTTGAAATATCTTAAGAAATTTTGAAGCGAGTTTCCCTATCAAAACAGAGAATAAGGTGTTTGAAAATAAAGAATTTATTACTAAAGGTATTGAAATATCTTGTCAACATAAGCGAGATTTTTACCTAAATTGCTGATCAGGTGACAACCAAATAATGAAAAGTCACAACAGTAAATATTGCAAGATATTAACTCAGGTCATTAAAGAGGCTAAACGTATGCATTACAGTAAACAGATATTAGAGTCAGATAACAAAGTAAAAGCAGTCTAGGAAATTGTGAAAAAGGAGACAGGTTCTACAGAAGAAGTGACCCCATCAACAAAGATGACAATATAATAAAGAATCCTAAACTCATAGCAGATTCTTTCAGTACTTACTTCTTAACAATTATAGAAAGAATTAACAATGACACTACAACCATAACAACAGAAGACGCAACAAAGAACCTTGCTAAAGCAATCCCTAAAACCTTTCCAAATTTAAGTCTTATGCCCACAACAACAAATGAAATTAAAAGTATAATAAATTCTCTCAAATCAATGTGGTTATAATGAAATATCTACAACACTACTTAAAAGTTGCACAGACCAGATTAGTGATCCTCTAAGTTATCTGTGCAGTCAATCAATGGTAGCAGGAACTTTCCCAGAACGACTCAAAAATTCAAAAGTTAAACCTCTATATAAGAAAAAGGTGAAAAATCTTGCATGTCTAATTACAGACCAAGTCATTACTAACAGGATTCTCTAAAATATTTGAAAAAGTTATGTATAAGAAAGTAAGCGATTTCTTAAATTTGAATGTCCTTGCAGGTGAACAATTTGGATTTAGGAAAATCTGTCAGCTTTATCAGTTGACAGATTTTCTTAAGTGCACTAAACAATAAAGTGCATGTTGGTGGAATATCTTGTGATCTTGCTAAAGCATTCGATTGTGTAAATCATGAATTATTACTGTTAAAACTAAATGTTTATGGAATTCGAAATACAGCTGGCAAGTGGTTTAAATCATACCTTCATGACAGAAAGCAACAAGTAGAAATAAAAACATCAAATTCAAATGATAGCACCTACTCAAATTGGAGTGCCTCAAGGTTCAATGCTTCGTACTCTGCTTTTTCTCGTATATATCATTGATCTGCCCCCAATCACCAACTCTAAATCTAAACCTGTACTCTTTGCTGATGATACTAATATTATTATTTCACATCCAGAAATTGGCTGTTTTCAAAATTTTATAAATTATGTATTTGCTAGATTGAACAGATGGATTAAAGCCAATTAACTCACATTAAATTTTGACAAAACAAATTTCATGAAATTTTGTACTAACAACAGAACTTGTGTAAATGTAAATACAGAGTCTGATGATAAAATAATCGAGGAAATGGAAACAACTAAATTTCTTGGTCTACAAATTGACAACAAATTAAACTGGAAAACACATATTCAATATATTATCCCTAAACTAAGCTCGGCATGTTTTGCTATGAGGACGCTCATGAAAACAGAAACTTTAAAATTAGTTTATTTTGTTTACTTCCATTCCATCGTGTCATATGGAATCATTTTCTCGGGAAAGTCAACGGACAGCAAAAAAGTATTTTACATTCAAAAGGGGATCATTAGAATAATGGAAGGCACTAAAAGGAGAGCCCTTGTAGGGAATTGTTTAAGAAGTTTAATATTCTTCCACTAGCCAGCGAATTCTTGCTCTCCCTATTATCATTTGTAGTGGATAACATGGAAAAATCCTCCCGAAGGTATCACCGCCTTGTCGAAGGCAAATAAATTTTGCTGGGTAAAAGGAGCCTTGCATGCTCAAAGGACCCTTAGGGCTGTGCCAGCCGAAGCTTCGGCTTCTGGTAGGGTCACCCAAGCCAGACAGGTCTAAGGCGATGGGCCAGACTAAGAGTGATACACTGGTCCTCCAGGTTGGGCGTGGGGCTAACAACCCCACCCCGGAAAGCAATTATTGTTACGATACTCTCAAAAGAGCCTCGGATGGATGAATCATTTGGTAAAGGACCTGGCAAACGTTCACGGACTCTGAAACGAACTGCGACATTGACCTTGGCCACACAGAATATTAGAACCATGACGCAGGCAGGAAAAGTGACGGAGGTGGGTGAAGAGTTGCTGGAGGTGAGGTGGAGTAGACATGTCAGGGTTTATAAAAAGAACTATTCTGTGTTCCTGTGGGCCTGAAAAAAGAACTGGGCACTTTGGAACAGGCTTTATTATTAGCTCAAAAATGAATCTAAGCTTTCTGTGTTTTAAGACTTCAGGAGAAAGAATGTCTGGAGTGGGCCGCGCTCTTCAACAACATCCAGAGCGCCGCCGAGCTGGACGACG